GAATTGGAATATCTGATAATTATTATTTATTTCATTAATAATAAATGTTGTTTTATGTAGTAACATTATTTTGTCCTTAGTGCCTTAATGCAGAGGTCGTTTCATACGTTAATACTGTTGATAAGTGACCAAAGACGTGAGGAATTGTGATTTTGGAACCACAAATTCTAACGTTTATCTCGTGTAGCTTTGCGCGAAATTCAAAAACAAACAATATAATTTTGAATTTTGTGCACCTGATTTATACCAACTTTCTACCAAATAAGCTCGACATCGATGGTGTTAGATGATTTTCTAGTTGTTTCCACGTGTTGAAAATGCTCGAATGTTATTCTGCTTCTCCTTGAATCAAATCTGTAAACATTTTTGTTTTGCGACTTAAACACTTAATTTTTTAACACTGAATTACAACACATAATTCTAAGAAGACTATTTAGGGTCTATATTGTTCAGTGAAAACTCCTTAAAATAAACATTACATTACGTTAGAGTTGTGTGAAATACCCTACGCTTTCCCAATACTTTACTGAGATCGTGTGTTCTTATTTTGGAAACTTGTACACAGAATGATTTTACTTATTTACAATAAAAACTCGAGAGAGGATTTCACAAGCATTTAATGTTATTTTCAAGGAACCAGCTGATTCCAGCCAGCTGAGGCTCCTGTCTTAGTCACGTGGTTTTGTTTATTACGAAGTGCGTCTTCGCACAAGGACTGAAGTGCGTAGTTCTTGAATACGGCAGTAGCACAAAGAAGGTATAATAAGTAACAAGTGAAGTTAGCGATCTTTGTCTTGGGCTGATGTTTTAATAGTTTAATATATTGCGTTTCTGATCTAATCAGGAGAAGAAAAGTCAAAAACCTTAAGCTAAAGAAACAGAAGAACGTTTATGAGCGATACTACCAATCTCTTTTAAAAATCTATTTTTTTTAGCCTTTAAAAAAAGGGCACTTTACATGGCTCTTTTTGTCTGCAAGCAATACAACAAATACGTATTTGCCATCTCCTTAGCCAACAAACTACAACGTATGTAGCTCTGACTTCAAACAACATTCAGCCAAACTCTTGATTGAAAAAGAAAAGGAATTAAAGCTGAAACGTGAATAATTCTTGGAAAGTTAGTGTAATAACTGATCATTCGCCTATTGAAAAACAGGAAAAATCGACTTGACTGGCGCTCTGTAAGTTTTTTCCTACTCTTTGAAATATTTGGTAAGCAATTTTATTAAAAGTATTAGTTTTTCTCATTTATAGTACATCTAGTTTTCACTACCTTTATCATGGATTTGTGTGCGAGTGAGTATCTTAAAAGCCAGTTTAGTTTCTAACGAATCCAGTCTTAAACAGAAATAATGTAGCTTGGAGTGAGAGGATGCATTGTTTCAGATACTGTCTATTTTGTCCTATAACACATTGACAACATGATTAATAAAAAGTTATTAATGTAGTTGTTATAGTGCTTTGTTAGCAGCTCTTTTGGTGGAAATTATTACATAAAAACATTCAATCAGAGAGTTTCTTAAAACAGCACTCATTTTGTTGTTCGTTGTATGTTCTAAGAAAACACTTTCGGAAACCATATGATCAAAAATTATAATAATCAATCATATACGTTCAGCTGTGAAAGATACCAATTAAAAACATAAATTTTATAATTTAACAAGCTTGTACTGAGGCTGAAGATCGATTAACCACAACATTTCGCTTTATTGTAGGGGATTTTTTAAAGAGCAAAACCAATTTGACTTATCTGCTATGCCTACCGAGGAGAATCAAACCCCAGCTTTTAACGTTGTAGGTCCGTAAACTTACCAGTAAAGTAAAAAGTTTTTAGTGGCAGAATACACGTTAAGTATATCCAGGAAGAACGAGCTTGATGACTAAGGGTTATTCGCTTTAATATGTAGCGATAGTGCTACAGTATTCTCAAATATGAAGTATTTAATTTAGGTAACTTCAGGAATGTTATTTTTTATTCTGTTGTTGGTTGTGAGCGGTAATACTGTTGTAGGCTATGTTTTTTCATTATTTAAACATAATCCTTTTTGCTAGAGGGAGTTTTAACATTGCGCGATGAGGATGATTAAAGCATTCTTTGAAGTTTAGCGATTTGAACGATATAAAACACAAATTAGGCGAGATTAGAAAAGATTATTGATTTATTAAGAGACGAGACATCCACTGTCTGATTAAGTCTAATATCATAAATATATTTACAATGGACTTTCTAAGCAGTTAAACTGCGATCTTTTAACCAATAAGAGCGGATCGTCTACAGACAATGTATGATCAACATAGTCAATGATTAACGGTTATTCCCGGCAGTGCACTTGTTGATTTAGAAATATCTAACAAAGATGTTAATAAATTATTTACTAAAAATAACCAAGAACACTTAAAAATGTAAAATATAGTGACGAATTATGTGGATTGTAAATAGTAAAGATAGAAAGGAGTTCCGGGATATTTGTTCAAAGTAAGTTTCAATGTTCGTATAAGTTTTTTTCTTTTATATCAGTTTCACTTCGTAGAATTTAATTTTGTGTTTGGTTATGGAATGTGAGTTTGTTTTTAAATCTTAAAAGATGTAGCACGATCCTTTATAATGTTCTTTGATCTTTGTCTTAATTTCTCTTCCAGTTTTCCCTAAACAAAATCGTCCATTTCTGTCACTAAGTTATATTAAAACGATTTTGAATACATGTAAATCACGTGTCATCACAGCCGAAATACAATCGCGGTGGAACGAATTGTATCAGTACTACCTTTTGACATTGCTTGACGTTTCGTATGTAGTGTAATGCCAAGAAAAGTTTATCTTTCTTGGGACTTGGGAAGGGTATGTAATAGCTCTCGCGGACGGAAAATATTCATACATTCAGACTGTGAAAGTATGTTTAGATAGGGGATTTAGAATTTAAAAGAGGGACATTCTCTTGCACTTAACGGCATTGGAACACAAAGCAATATGGATTAATTTGAGGAACCAGGGCCGTCCTGAGAGAGACCTGCAATAAGTCTACCCCAGCCATGGTAAACAAAGTTCGGTATCTTCTGATGAAAATCCACAAACACAAAGATAATTGTCAAAATCCGTCCACGTGTTCCTGGCAACACCACGTAACATAATCAAGAAGAATCTCTGCCTGGAAAAGCCACACAAATCATACATCGTTGGATAAAATTATCTCAAACAAAAGGAAACCAAAAGCAAAAAACTGGTTTTGTTTTTTTCTAAGCACAAAGTTAAATAATGGGCTCTGCCCGTCAAGGGTATCGAAATCCGATTTTTTGTGTTATAAGCCCTCATAGTTACTGATGAGACACTGAAGAGCATGGGGGGGTGGGTGTATACTTGACTTTGCATTTTTCATTTTAGCGAACAATCTAAAAGAACCCGCCTTACAATAAAACACGTTACAGAGCTTGTGTCAGGAGTCGGATTATTTTGATAAAAATATAATTGAAACTGTTTAAAATGACAACCCGGGCTCAAAGTGAGATGGAGAATTTGATGGAAATGATGAAACAACAGAAAAATGACCAAAATAAAGAGGCAAGAAGTTAAAAGGGTAATTACAAGAACATGATATGAGATTTACAGAAGAATTAATAACACAAGACACTTTCATCGAAGACAAACTCGAGAAAGCAATAGAAATGGCACAGAAAGATTATAACAACAACATCGAAAAATTACAAATGGACATCTACAAAGTAAAAGGGAAGAGCAAAATGACATCAACGAATTACAAATGACACCAACAAGGTACAAAGAAATATAAACGCCAATATAAAACAGCTGAAAGCTGAATTTGAAAATGCAAGGTGAAACCAATCACACCTCTCTGCGCATGTGCTCAAGAATTCCAAGCTTAAACGTCATTAACTATGTCATATGGAATAGAAAAACCCATTTGGTCTCCACTTGTTACTTATAGTTGTATCACGTTTTTTTTTTATTTACTAACAGACGTTCCTGGGTTGTTCCAGCTACACTACAACTTCATCAAGTTACGTAATTTAACAGGTCAGTTCAACAATGTCGCTAAATATGGAAGCTCACAGGTTGTAATGGAAAGATACCATAGGAGGCATATCAAGCAGTTTAGAATAATTTCCAATGTCGATTGATCAGGTAAAGAAAGCTTGGAAATTAAACCCAGAAATGGAACAAGAATATGGACTGATACAAACAGCAATTCACCATAAATTTCCAGCATGAGGAAATTTGGAAGTTATTTTCACTGTAGGAAGATTCTCTACACAATACATGAGTGAGTAATGCACATAAAGGAAGACTGCACACTTTCAGTAGACTTCGTGCAGGAGCAGGGTTTTCTTTGGACAGTACGATTGTTCAAGGAATTTACAATCCAGGGGGATTAATGTTGTAGGCTATGCATATTTAATTTAGACGTATTGATTTTGGTTAGAGGGAGTTTTAAAGGTCCATGATGAGCGTGACTTTATGACGAACTTTCTTGAAAGTTTGGAAAATGAATTAAACGATACGAAATGCGAGTTAAGCGAGACTAGAAGAGATGATTAATTGATTTATGAGTTTGTTATAGTGGTGGATTAAATACTGAGATAGCAAGTTTGTTAGCTGGTTAATCTGTTACTTCTGTTTAGCGAATATCGAGGTTGTGTTTTAACGAAGTAAAATAGATACAATATGTACTGTGCATATTAGAAAATTAATAAATAACTGTTTAGTGCCATTTGTTGTGATGTTAGGCCTATCGTTAGTTCGTGAAATCGTGTAAATTATAAAAGTGTAAAAAATAAATCATCTTCGTTATAATTACGTAAACTGAACTTTGCATTCTTCTTTTTACTGAATAATGTAAAGGGAGCAGCCCAACAATAGAAACTGGCATATTTACTGTGGTCTATAAATTTATATACCAGAATAAGCTTCGTAAGCCTAAGAAAGTTTAAGTAAATAGTTTAAAACAATAAAAATATTAGTGAAAGAAACATTTCATAATATTAAAGCACTGAAGTGTCTGTAGTCCGTTGTAGTAGCACATCATATTAAGTATCCAGCATCCACTTTTAAAACTCCAAGTGAAACTAATTCTAGCACTGTAACTCCTATGGTAAGCTGTGAAATCCATACTTTTCTCAAACAAATTTTAAGATGGTGTTTATGATACTTTGCATATTATGTAGTCACGATATGGTATAGGTTTTATAAAGTAACACTTTGAATACGTTTGAATAAAAACTAAATAAACGGATCTCAAAGTTTACGAAATTATTTTCACCAAGATAGTTAGCTTACTTACGATTAAAATGAGTGCAATAACTTCGCAGCTGTAAATGTTAGACAGGATTTTATACACATTTATGGACAAATTTGCAAAGCAGGCTCAAATTGTTTGGAAGACAGATATTTCTCCATAATTAACTCTAGTTTACTCTCTGTGTAGATTACATGTCACACGAAGTAACTACAAATTATGTTCAAACTTGGTACTGTATAGAAAGGTTTCTTAAATATCATTAGTGAGACCAACTGCTCACTTTATGATAAACATACAGGAAGGAAGTCATGATGGTTAAATAAACGTATCTGGATAAAATTCTCAAGCATTGGCAACTGTTCGGCTAAAAATAGTTCAAAAATCCTCTAAACTATAAATAAGATACACACGTTTTGCTCGATAGAAAAATGGCAATACCTATCAACCACCTGATGTTTCTTTTATTGTTAAGCATAAAGCTACCCAATAGGCTATCTTTTGTTTGCCCACTACGAATATAACTCGATTTTTAGCGTTATAAGCCTTCAAAATTACCACTGAGCCACTGTGGGGGAAGGTGTGGATGTGGAGTGACTATGGCTGCGAAGGCTTTCGTGTAAGGGTTATCAGGCCAAAAAACTTATAGAGAAATAAAGTGAATTTGTATTTGTAAAACTATTATTCAAGAAATATATTACTTTTGCTTATATTAAATATATGTATAATATCTGTATATACATATATATATGCAATATTATCCTCGTTTTCAGTGGTTTTATAATAATTCTGCGTTCCACAGAACACAAATAGTATTTGATTTTGATCATTTTTTATACATTGGCATTATATTAAACTTATATTAAGTTGTTAAATATGAGAGTTAAACTTAGAGTCAACATATTGAGTTATAATGAGTTATATATTGCGTT